AGTCAATGTAGGTGGTCCTGAGGGAGCCACTGCACCACTTGTCTGGTTTTGCTGCTTTTCTGGGCCTGTAGCTGAAATTCAGTTGAGGCCTAGATGTTACCTTTAGGGAGGAAAAGCTCAGGGAGTCTAAACTCCATGACCAGTGATATGGCTGGGAAAGATAGGTTACCCTGGGGACAAGGTTCTTGTTTTCCCAGTTTTGCCCCATGCTCGGCATCTGGGGCTTCCTGCCCTGGTGAGTTTCTGTATCCTAGTTTCTGTACCTGATCCAACAGTTACTAGGTACTTGATAGATTTGACTCTCTTATAATTATTTTGACCTTCAAAAAGTTTATAATTAACTCGAATCTTAATGAGATGTGAGAAAGACTTCCCAGGCAAGTTGCTTTCTCAAAGGCATGTTCTTATAGTCCTGCTCCTCCCTACAAAAGGACTCAGTTCTTCAGGAAGAATTCTGGTCCCTGGAGTGTGGCATAAGGATTGTGCTTTGCACCTGGCAGGAGAAGTAAAGGTTTTCACTTTAAAAAGAAGTAAAAGTTTTAAGGACTGCTCATGAAAAGAAGCAAGACTGGCTCCTCAGCCATGGAGTTTATGTAAATAAACTTCTGCTGTGGAAGAACATCCATGGGTCCCTGTGTCCCTGGCTGGGCCTCTCTCTCCCTTAGCTCCTTGGGAAAATAGAAGGGTCAGGGCCAAATGCCTGCGTATCTCAAAAGGCTCTAGGCTAACCTTGGTTCTCTTTCCTCAGGATCCAGAGGCCTTCCAGAAGCAGAAGGCAGCTCTACTGCTCTACAAAGGAGTGGGATCCTTTCAGCTATGAAGCATATGTTGAACCTCTATCTCGTAGGTGTGGTGCTGACCCTACTTTCCATCCTTGTTAGACTGATGGAGTCACTGGGGGGCTTACTGGAAAATCCATCACCTGGGAGCTCCTGGACCACCAGAGGTCAACTAGCCAACACAGAACCCCCAAGAGCCTTCCAGAACATTCATCCAGAGGGGTGTGATAAGACCTCCCTCCACCAGCTATAACCTTGGAACACTGGCCTAAATCTGTCCAGCCAGGTGTCCCAGTACCTGAGCAGGCAAAGCTCAGCACCAGTGTTGCCAGAAAACTGTTACTAGGCCCTTGAAGGGCCTCTCCACCTGGATGTTTCTACCCTGGAAAAAGACTGTTTAATATGGGTTGCCTGTGGCTGTAGAATGGAGTGATTTCATTCTCCTCCACAGAGTCTGCTGTATGCCTTGTCCCTGGCAGCGTGGCTCTGACCTCTTAGGTGAGGGCTGTGCTGCAGCTTCAGCTGTTGGGAGAAGATGATGTTTTCAGCTGTACTTCTAAACATCTACCAAGAGTTCCTTTGGACTTGGGTGGCATATGGTCATTTTCTTTGGTGTTCAGCTTCTCTTTCATGTGAGCTCCTCTGTATATGGCTAACAGTTGAAAGAGGTATGTGAGTTGATTGTAGGGAGGGGGAAGATGGAGTGTTCAGTGTCCAGTTCTCATTGTTTTACATTTTTAAGTCCTTCCCCCAACCTAGTGTGTATGTGTGTGTATTGGTCTGAAGGGGTCAGTGGGATAGCAAAGCCTGCTCGGGACATGGGCATTATAGCCACCATGTGGCTTAAGTGACTTTTTCTAATGAAATAAAGTTGAATATATAGTTCCACTATGTGTCATGTTGACTTCTGCCCTTGAAATAAGTGGTTAGGGAAGGGTATTCATTTGTACATCTGAGGTTTAACACCTTGAAACTTTGGAGCATGAAAATGCTTAAAACACTTTGTTTAAAAGAAGGTAAATGAACCTCTGAATTTGGAGGCAGGGGCAGTTGGGTCTGCCCTGTCTGTATCCACAATTGTCTGAGCTTAGTCCAATATTACAGTCCTCTCTTGACTGTCCATCTCTAATATATCTTCATTGATTTCAGAGAGAAAGAAGGGAGAGGGTGAGAGAGAGAGAAAGATTAATGATGAGAGTCATTGATCGGCTGCCTCCTGTACTCCTACTGGGTTTCGAGCTCACAACCCCACTGTGTGCCCTGACTAGGAATGGAACCGAGATCTGGATCATAGGTTGATACTCAACCACTGAGCCACACTGGCCAGGCAACCTTGACTTTTTTATTCTGTACTCTTATCCACCAGAAAGACTACTCAATTCTGATTGTTTGGGTAGGCTGGTAAAATAGCCATACCTCGCCTGGCCAGTCTGGCTCAGTTGAGCGTCATCCCATGCACCAAAAACTTGATGGTTTGATTCCTGGTCAGGGCACATGCCCAGGTTGCAGGCTCTGTCCCCAATAGGGGTCGTGCAGGAGACAGCTGGTTCTATCTATCACCCTTCCATCCCTACCTCATGCTGAAACAAATTCCTCAGCCTATGGTAATAGAGGTATATCTCAAATATTGAGGGTTGGGTTCGAGACTACCACTAAAGCAAGTCATGATTTTTTTAGTTTCCCTGTGCATATGAAAGTTATGTTTACACTGTACCGTAGTCTATTAAGTGTAATGTCTAAAAAGCAATGTATACACCTTAATTAAAAAATACTTTATTGCTAAAGGGCGCTAACCATTATCTGAGCCTTTAGTGAGTCATAATGTTTTTGTTGGTAGAGGGTCTTGTCTCGATGTTGATAAAAACATCTGCGAAGTACAATAAAATGAGGGATGTCTGTTCACACTCTCATCTTGGTGTGCACAACAATTTATATATGGTGAGTTTGATTTACTTTTGCCAAAGGTAAAAATGGAGCTTGGTATCCTTTACCAAACCAGTTTTGCTCCCTGAGTGTTCTTAAGCTTTAAGTGCCACTACCCTGGAAGCCGCTGGTTTGGGCAGCATTTGTTGTACTGTGGTAGCCATTAGGGCTGTTTATCAGGTATTTCCAATTTCCAACCTTGCAGTCCCTGGTCCTTTGATCAGCTGGGCTTATGTGACTCATCTTTTGGTAGCATATTACTTCAACATAGTTGGTATTTTATCTCTGATTCAGGCAGTTTCATGTGCCAGTAGCTCTCCTTTTCTAGACATTTTCTTAAATTTGATGTATTTTTTCATTCAGATGCCTCCAACTAATTTGAGGTATTTTGAATTTTTAACTGGAGAGCTGTACCTCAATTCTCTTCCCCATGTAGTTTAGTTTAATTGAAATGGGTTACTGGGTGCCACAACCTTACTGAGGCCTTTGCTCTAAGACAGCAGTTTTCAACCCTTACATCTCATGGCACACATAAACTAATCACTAAAATTCTGTGGCACACCAAAAATATATTTTTTCCTGATCTGACCAAAAAATAGGTATAATTTTGATTCACACCATACAGCTATTTTGTTGGCTGCTGTCATTTTTAATTTGACAATCTAAGGGGAAATGTCAATGCCCCTGACTAAATAGGTATTGCATGTTTTAAAAATGCTTGGCGGCACACCAGTTGAAAGTCCCTGCTTTCAAATAATCTGCTCAGCCCGGCCAGCATTGCTCAGTGGTTGAGCAACGACTTGTGATCCAGGAGGTTGTGGTTCAATTCCGTCAGGGCACATGCTCTGGTTGTGGGCTCAATCCCCAGTACCGGGGGTGCAGGAGGCAGCAGATCAATGACTTTTATCATTGATGTTTCTCTCTCCCTCTCCCTTCTCTCTGAAATCAATAAACATATATTTAAAAAAAATTTTTTTTAAATAATCTGCTTGGAAGTTTCAGCAACAGATATGGTGGCCATACCATTGTTTTAATCTTTCCTACGAGTAGTTATCCCTGTTTGCCTAGCCAGGGGCATTTCCTGGGATGTAGGACTTGTGCTAAAACTGGGACACTTCTGAGCAAACCAGGATAGTCACCCTACATACAAAACAGTTTGCACTGGTGTTTGTCATTCCAAACGTTTCTCAGTTTTATGTATTACCAGTTAGGAATGAGAAGCAGTTGCTTCTGTGAACCCTGCAAGCTCACTGATTTTCTGTAGTCTCTCTAGATCCCTTGTGCCTGCTTGCAAGCTAGCCAGTTTTTCTCTTGGCTCATTTCATGGTGCTTTGTCAATAGCAGCCAACAGCATTCAATTCAAGCTGCTAAAATTCTGTTCTCTGACTCTCCTAACTTTAGATAAATTAGATTAAAATATGTTTTGTAAGTTACTGCAGGCAACAGTTTTGCCAAACACTCTGCTACTGTATAAGATGGGCTGCCATCCTTCCAGCCTCCAATATCTCTTTGCTGCCTTCCTAATAAGTTAAAGTCACACATACTAAAGGTTCTGTGGGATGTGGTTTGTTTGTTTTTATTGCAACACTGCCCCCTAGATTCCAATCTTAGTCAAGGACAAATTAGGTTAGGTTATGCTGCAGCAACCCTAAAAACTACTAAAATCCCAGTAGCTTAAAACAAGTTACCTATAAGGATGCACTCCCAGGAAGCAGAATGGGGCCCTAACCAAGGGAATTCCTTTACCTTCCTCACACCTGCTCAGTGGAGCATCATAATTGCTAGGCTGCTGTGTCTCCCACTCTTCTCCCTCCCCCTGCTGCGTTTATCCTGTCCCTATTCCACCATTATATATGAGATGTGTGGGGGCACATGGCTCATTTTTTATTTTTTTTTAATCTTTATTGATTTCGTAGGAAGGGAGAAGGATAGAGAGATAGAAACATCAATGATGAGAGAGTCATTGATCAGCTGTCGCCTGCACGCCCCCAACTGGGGATCGAGCCCGCAACCCGGGCATGTGCCCTGACTGGGAATTGAACCTCGATCACCTGGATGCTGGGTCGATGCTGAACTGCTGAGCTACACCGGCCGGGCGGCTCATCTTTTTAGTTTGTAGATCTCCATCTCAAGCCACATCTGAAACTGGTCTAGAAACTACTGTGCATCACTCAGATTCTTGAATTTGAGCTTGGTGGTGTGGCTGAATGGAATTCTTGTGTTCTCTCCTTTGAAGGAGGTACAGTGAACATATTCCACCTGCAGGAGGGATAGTGAGCTGAAGGATTATTGACTAGCAGGTCATTAGTGGTAGTCGTTAATGTTCTCCAAATATTTCTGCCCTTGCCTTCCAGGCACATGATAGAATTGTACTTCCTGACCCCTTTGTGGTTGGATGGGACCAAGAAGTGACTTGTATCAATTCTAGGTTGGAACATTTAAGCACTGGTTCAAAAATCTCTTTTTCCTTCCTCCACAGTGACCAGCAATGCTCCAAATGAAACTGTTCCATTAGGGTAGATCGTAGAGCAGGCATGCCATGGAGCAGAGCCCCCAACTGATCCCTGATGAACATGAGGTGTAAATGAGAAACCTTTGTTGTGTTAAGCTACTGAAGTTTGGGGGTTTTGTTGTTGTATTTTATTATTTTCTAAAATATATCTTTATTGATTTCAGAGAGAAGGAGAGAGAAACATCAAGGAGAGAGTCATAGATTGGCTGCCTCCTGCATGCCCCCCACTGGGGATCGAACCCACCACCCAGGCATGTGCCCTGACTGGGAATCAAACCGCGATCTCCTGGAACAGAGGTCCATGCTATTCAATAGCTGAGCCACGTTGGCTGGGCGGTTTGGGGTTTTTGTTACTGCAGCATAACTCGGCCTATCCTGATACACTGCTTATAGCACCTATTGGTAGCAAGCACTGAACTAAGATCTATCTCATCACTGCCTACCTCAGATAACATACATGAGATAGTAGGGAGAGACGCATGTAAACAAATAAATAACGTTTCCTGGTTCTATGATAGAATGTGTGTAGGACAGTGGGTACATAAAATTTGCAGGTAGAAGGTGAAAGTCAAGGAAAAGCTTCTTAGAGGATCTGAATTTCTTTTTTTCTTTTTTCTTTTTTTTTTTTTAGAGAGAGGAAAGGGAGGGGAGAAAGAGAGAGAAACATCAACATGAGAGAGAAACATCGATCTATTGCTCCCGTACTCACCCTGACCAACCCACAACCTGGAATGTGCCCTGACTGGGAATCAGACCAGCAGCGACCTTTTGGTGCAGGGAATGGCACTCAGCCAACGGAGNTTTTTCTTTTTTTTTTTTTTTAGAGAGAGGAAAGGGAGGGGAGAAAGAGAGAGAAACATCAACATGAGAGAGAAACATCGATCTATTGCTCCCGTACTCACCCTGACCAACCCACAACCTGGAATGTGCCCTGACTGGGAATCAGACCAGCAGCGACCTTTTGGTGCAGGGAATGGCACTCAGCCAACGGAGGCACACTGGCCAGGGCCAGGATCTGAATTTTTTAAAATAAATAAGTGGTCAAGTGAGGGAAGAGTTTCCCAGTAGAGCGATCAGTGAGCAAGGGCATGGAGATGAGCTTTGGCACAGCACGTTTAGAAAATCCCAAGTACGAATTTTAAATCTCTACTGATTATTAACTTGAGGCCTTAACTCTGGTGCCACCTTTTTATTTTACTAGAGGAAAAAGAAGGAAACTCAGTGACTTAGTATCACTGAACTAATTGGTGGTTGATTCCCAGCATGCAGCCCTTTTTTCAACATCATGATTTTTTTTTTCTTTTTCATGGACCCTTCAAAATGCAACAGAACAAAATACGTCAATAATGAGCTTTTTCACCCCTGAGGTAATTCTTATTCAGGCACAGGTTACACTTACAAAGCAAGTCTGTGAGAGGCTTCCCTGTGAGGGGGTGGATCAAAGGCCATGGGTTTCTCCAGAGCCTTCCTTGCTGCTCTGGCCAGCTCACTGCTGTCTCGGCGTAACCTCGGGAGAGTCATTTTCCTCGTGTTTGCAGGGAGATTGAGAGAAAAATGGAACAGGCTTCATTACTACTAGTTAATAGGAAGAAAAGGGAGAGAAAGCCTTGCTCCTCCTTAATTCTTCCTTTCCTCTTCTTTTTCCCCCTTTCCTGTAGTTGCCACCACATTCCTGATGTCATTCCTGCCATTGTGAGCCGGCAGGCCGGCTGTCCAGGCCTGGAGGACAGCCTGTAAATCAGGAGGGGGGTGGAACTGTGGAGGTGGGGGGGGAAACAGTGGTCACACCAACACCTTGTAGTTGGGCTGGGTCTGTGTGGAGCCCCAGGGATGTTCCCCAGCCCGTTCTTCCTAAGACCCAATGAGTAAAATTAGGGGCCTCCCTCCTGAGGTCAAGGAACCAGGCCCTGGAGTGGAACTTGGGGTGGAAGATGGCCTTCTTTGTCAACTGATTCGTTCTCCAGAATTCAACTTGTTCTCCAACTCTGTGGTGTTTGAAAGCAACTTTATCCAGGTACCCTTGTGCAGCTCAGAGCCAGCCCTCTTTCCCTTTCCAAAACCTGTTTCCGGAGGTTGGTCCAAAAATGCTGTGGCCTTTCAAAGCCCTGGGGAGGAGAAAAACAATTCCAGCTAGAGAAAGCAGAGGATCTGGGCCTCAAGTTCACCTGTTTGTGCCTATTGCATTATGGGGTTTTCCTCACTTTCCTCCCCTTCTGGAACTTTCTTTGCACAATCTCCCTTCCAGACCATTAGAAACCTGTGCTGGCTTCTTCTACCAGAGGATGAAAGAATAAAATTTCAATGCCACTCAGCTTTTTCTTAGTGCATCCTTTTAAAGTGAGATGATGCAGAGGACGTGAAGAAGGGCAACACAGCATCCCTGTTGCCAATGAGCTTGTCTATTTGGGGAAATCCACAAAAAGGGTGATGCAGGTCATGGCCCAGCCCAGTGTGCTGCACATGTACGAGAATCACAGGTGCTCCAAGCTTGTCACTAAGCTGAAGTGCTGCTTTCTAGCACCTGTATCCTTCCACTCTTGCCTTCTGCTTCTCTGACCCAAGTACTTGGGGCTGATTTCTAGGTCACTAAGCCCGGGAATTGGATAAATGTCTATGAAGGGTCGACCACCGTGATCCTTGGGGTAACCTCCTCAGTGCCCTCCTTGCCACTCCCCAACATCCTCCTGATGGCCAACGTCACCTGGCCCCAGGGTCAGTTTTCCACCTGGAACACACCTGACTGCGCTCCAGTCATCACCCTCAGCAGGTAAAGAAAGGCCTCAGGGAGGGGCCAGAAGGGGTGCATTGTTTGTAGCGGGGCTTTAGACAGTAAGAAAGGACAGTGTTCCTTGGTATACAAACTGTAGAACATCACTCATTCATTTAACAAGTATTTATTTAGTGTCTATATTGATCAAGCACTGTGTTTTGTGCTATGGGTAGACTATCAGTCAGTCTCAGCCTAGTTTTTGAGGATTTTGGCTTTCGTTTTTATTTTGTCAATAAAGACTTAGGAGGGTTCAAAAAAAAATAAATGAGGTGTGTGAAAGCCAAATGGGATATGAGGTGTTGAGATTGAAAAAATAATACTGGGCATACAGGAGACATCCACCCTTCTTACTCTTTCAACAGAGTTCATCAGGATACAGGGCAAAGGGGACCTGGAAATGGAGTAAGAAAACCTTAGTCCCAGTTCCTACTTAAGATATAAACTTGAAATAAATAAATACATAAATAAGTACATAAATAAATAATTTTAGAAGGGAAAAAAAAAAGCTAAACTAGGGCAGCCCTGGCTGGGTAGCTCAGTTGGTTAGAATGTCATCCTGATACCCGAAGGTTGCAGGTTTGATCCCCAGTCAGGGCACTACAAGAAGCGACCAATGAATGCATAAGTAAGTGGAACAGCAAATCCATGTTTCTCCTTTCCTCTCTCCCTCTAAAAATCAATAACTTAAAAATATATATCTAAACTTGGGCAAATTGCTTAGCTTCTCTAAGCCTCAGTTTCAAAATCTATAAAATGGAATTAATAATACTTATCTTTCCTTCATCAAAGGGTTGTTGAAAGATTAAAAGAGAGATTCTACACCAATTATCAGCCTTTGTTATTGATGTGGGCAGATTCTTTAATAACTAAGGCCCTGGAAATCAGAGAAGAGTTGGTTTTTGTAATCATTCCACTCTCAGGCCACAAGCCCTCTCCCTTGCACATCTCCCAAGCAGAGGTGGAAGCCAAGTGAGGTTGAGCCAAGTTCTAGGTAGGCACCAGCATGGTTGATTCCAATCCTGGGCTCCTCCACTATGGGAATTTCCTGATTGTGTCCAGGATTCTCCCCCTGAAGTTTGTGGAGCTACAAATCTGTGACCGGCTCCAACGCATCCTGCGGATTAGGACAGTGACTGAAAAGATTTACTACATGAGGCTCCACGAAAAACACCCAGAGACTGTGTTTCAATTCTGGATCCGCTTGGTGAAAATTCTGCAGAAAGGTCTGTCCATCACCACCAAAGACCCGAGAATCCGGTTCACTCACTGCCTGGTGCCCAAGATGTCCAGCAGCTCCACTAAAATAACAGTAAGTGATACCCTTCTGCCAAGATCTCTAGGGAGGGGGGAAGGGGACTGGAGGTACACTGTCTCCCCTAGTGAGGATTGATGAATATTAAAGTCTAGTGTCCTTGGGGGGATGAGAAGACCATTTTCAAGGGTCAGTGATCTGCACACACCAATTAGAGCAAATTAATTTAATTTTGCTAAAAAAGCTATAAGCTACTTAACTCACTTAAAAGTATTTTCAGGTGTTTTGCTCTTTTTTTCAGTATCCTAAAGGAATAATGCTCACTTAAGAAAATCAGAAAATTACAGAAAAATCACCCCCATATTTCTTCAGCTTCAAGCAATCAATTGGAACAGTTGGCATATTCCCTTCTAGTCTCTCATTTCAAATTATTTTTAATTTATGTATCTGAGGACATTAAATATATATTTTTAGATGTTGCTTTTTTCAATTTAGATTATATCATAAACGTTTTTTCATTAAAAATTTTTTCAATTACAGTTGATAGTCAATATTATATTAGTGTCAGGTGTACAGTATAGTGGTTAGATGTTTATATAACTTATGAAGTGCTCTCCCCAATAAGTCTAGTACCCTACTGGCACCGTACATATTTATTATAATATTATTGAATATATTTCCTATGGTGTACTTTACATCCTCATGACTATTTTGTAACTGCCAATTTGTACTTTTTTTTTTTTTAATATATCTTTATTGATTTCAGAGAGAGGGAGGGAGAGGGAGAGAGAGAATCATCAATGATGAGAGAGTCATTGATCGGCTGCCTCCTGCACGCCTCTGACTGGGGATCCAGCCCGAAACCCGGGCATGTGCCCTGACCGGGAATCGAACCCCGATCACCTGGATCCTAGGTCGACGCTCAACCGCTGAGCCACACCCGGCCGGGCTGTGTGTGTGTCTTTCAATCTGAAGTGGGTCTCCTGTAGACAGCATATATATAGATCTTGTTTTCTCTTCCATTCAGCCATCCTATGTCTTTTCATAGGAGCATTTAAAGTAATTGTTAAAAAAAATAAGTAAATAAAGTAATTGTTGACAGGTATGTAGTTACTGCCATTTTATACATGTTTTTTATCTTTTATTCTCTTCTTCATAGAGAAGTCCTTTTAACATTTCTTGTAATACTGGTTTGGTGGTGATGAACTCCTTTAGCTTTTTCTTGTCTGAGATCCATTTCTTTTATTTTTTCAATCCTCACCCAAGGACACTTTTCCCATTGCTTTTCAGAAAGAATAGAAGGGGGAGGGGGAGAGAGAGAGAGGGAGGGAGGGAGGGAGAAACACTGATGTGAGAGAGACACATCGATTGGTTGCCTCCTGCATGTTCCCTGACCAGGGCCAGGGATCGAGCCTGCGAGCAAGGTACGTGCCCTTGGCCAGAGTCAAATTCAGGACCCTTCAGTCCGCAGGCCGACACTCTAACCACTGAGCAAAACTAGTTAGGGCTGGGATCCATTTCTTTTAAAATCTCTTTGTGGCTCTGGCTGGGTAGCTCAGTTGGTTAGAACTTCATCCCCATACGCCAAGGTTGCAGGTTCAATCTCAGGTCAGGGCACGTACAAGAAGCAACCAATGAGTGCATAAGGAAGCGGAGCAGCAAAGCAGTGCTTCTCTCTCTCTCTGCCTGCCTGCCCCCCCCCATCGAAGAAAGAAAGAAAGAAAGAAAGAAAGAAAGAAAGAAAGAAAGAAAGAAAGAAAGAAAGAAAGAAAGAAAGAGAGAAAGAGAGAAAGAAGAAGAAAGTTTTAAAAGCTCTTTATACACATCATATCATTCATGCTATTCACTTGTACAAATGAATTAAAATTTATTTCATTCCCCTAAAATCAGCAATGGTAAAATAAGCATTTATAGGTATTGTCCAAGGTTTGTTTTCTCAGAATAGATTCTTTTTTTTTAAATATGTCTTTATTGATTTCAGAGAGAAAGGGGGAGAGAGAGAGAGAGAGAGAGAGAGAGAGAGAGAGAGAGAAACATCAATGATGAGAGAGTTGTTGATCATATGCTTCCTGCGCACCCCCTACTGGGGATGGAGTGCAAAACTCAGGCATGTTCCCTGGCCAGGAATTGAACCACGATCTCCTGTATTCATAGGTCAACATTCAACCGCTGGGCCACACCAGCCAGGCTCAGAATAGATTTTTAAAAGTAGAATTCAGCTGGGCTGACGTGGCTCAGTGGTTGAGCGTTGGACCCATGAACCAAGAGACCACCACTTTGGTTCCTTGACGGAGCACATGCCCTGGTTGTAGCCTCAATTCCCAGTAGGGGGCATGCAGAAGGCAGCTGATCTATGTTTCTCTCTCCCATCAATGTTTCTATCTCTCTCTCCCTCTCCCTTCCTCTCTCTCTAAAATCAATAAAAAAAACAAAAAATAAAATAAAAGTAGAATTCAAATAGTATGAATATTTTTAAGGTTTTCTTATAATACATATTGCCAGATTATTTCCAGAAAGTTCAGACCAAATTCTACTCTTGCCAATAATATGGGTTCTGTATCACTGTATCTTTATCACAATTGAGAATTTTAAAGTTAAAATTTTTTTCTAATAATCATACGTTAAAAAAAATGTCATATCTTTGATTTTCAACGAGTTTGAACACTTTTTTCTTTCTTTATGCAGTATCTGGTTTGTTCTTTGGCTATTTTCCTATTGGCAGCCTTGTGTTTTTCTAAATTCATTTGTAAAATAAAGCTTTTTATACATCAAGAATTTTAACCCTTTAATCACAAGTTTTTGCAATATTTCCCCCAAGGATCAGCTTTCTCCTTTGAGTTTATTTAAGGCTTTTTTTTTTTCTTTCTTTCTTGACACACAGAAGGCTTTCCCATGACCTGCTTAGGGTAGGGGCACAGGAAGCAAAAGCGTGATAGACTGAATTGCCTAAAACCTTCAGATTTCAGACTCTTATTAAACACTGTCCTCCTTTCAAGTTGTGTGATTTAGGTACGCCATCACTGACTTCAAAAGTCAGCTTTTATAGTCCTACTGCTCTGGTTCTTAATGTTCAGATCTGGTGCCCTGGGCAGAGTAGCTACAGCAGCCCATTAGAGAGAGGAAGTGATCCTGCCTAGGGCCTCATTTTCTGTCTGCTGATTCTAGGGCTTAACGTTTAAGGAACAGGTTCCCAGGACTAGGCTGGAAGACTCAAGTGAGTTCCTTCAAGGTTCTGGCCAGAGGAGGCCAAGAACTATCATGGAGCAGATCTGGTCATCTGACAATAAATTTCTCTATCTAGACTGAAAGCAGCCTCTCGTTATCCTCCCAGCCCAGTGAAAACTTAATGCTGTTGGAAGCCACGCAGATCAGCAGCAGTTTCTCACATTTCCCAAGAAGGTTCCAGCTCACAGCAGACAGGTAAGTCCGCTGTGCAGGCAGCTCCAGTACCCCTTCCCACAGCATAGTCATGGGTGGGGTCAGTGACACCTTCTGACAACCTATCAAAGTTTGTTTGTTTATTTATTCTTAATAATTTTGGTAATGTTTTAGTTGATTTCAGAGAGAGATAAAAACATCAATGATGAGAATCACCTCCTTCTGCAGACCCCCTACTGGGAATGGAGCAGTGATCTCTCCCTGTTCATGGGTCAATGGTCAACCACTTAGCCACACACACCCCCAGGCGCAGTTCTTTTATTATTTTTATTTTAGACAGTTATGCGTATGACTTTCCCCTTAATGTTATTGTAAGCCTGTCCTTGAAAACAGGGTCTGTGGCTGATTGATCTGGATATTCTAGGCAAACCCCAGTGTTTTCATATGGAAGGTGCTCAGTAGAAGGAATGAGGGTGAGCTAATAAAGCAGGTTTGTGGAGTTAGATATTAACTGTCTCCGTTCCCAACTCACAAGGGTCCTTTGAATAAGATAATCCTGAGTTCTCTTTGCTTCATCTATCTCTTCTGTAAAACAGACAAGAGAGTAACCTAGAGGGGAGACCACTGTTGGCTCTAAAGTTTTACTAATTCACTAAGTAATTGTAGTAGATTCTTTCTTTAATGAGTAATAGAAACCCAAAGCAAGATCGTGCAGCCAATATGTTGAACAAGTTCTATTTTGGGGTATCATCTAAATGCAAATTTATTTTTGTCTTCCTTTATAACTTTTTCAGTGGGTGAAATTGTCCTCTTACCTGAGTAAAAGATGGTTTTCTGGGCAGGCCCCATAGCATGTGGACTCCCTCTTATAATATAAAAGGTCATTTGGTCCCTTTAAATAGCAAAAGCAGCATCGATTCTGAAATTTAAAAGTCCACTGCTTAAAAACTCTGAGCTGATCACATGTCCCTCCCCTCAGCCTGGTCCCATGTTAAGGTGGCCCCTGAGAGTCACTACTCCTCTCCTTCTGTTTCCTGATTTTAAAGCTGATTTTTTTTCTTAGGTACTTTCTTGGATTCTTTAAAGTCCCCTACCTGGCTCCCCTGACTGCAACTCTGGTGGTGCTGTGAGACCTTCCTTTCATCTGGCCAGAACCCCTCCCAGGCCCTGGCTCTGCAAGGGTTCTTGCTATACAGGCACTAGCTGTCAGAGTCCCCTCACCCCTTAAGGGTAGAGTTTACAATGGCTCCAGGCTGGTGCTCGCTCTCTCTCTCTCTCTCTCATGCTGTCTGCATCTGGTCCTCAGGTAATATCCTCCCAGAATTTGGCCATTGGAGAGGAGGACCGTGCCTCTAGGACACAGAGCAACTTCTCTTCACTTTACCACCAAAGAAGCCCATTCTCTCATCTCTCCCACTCTCCATGTTTTATACCTCTACCTACTGAGTCTCCCAGCCCCCAGGGACCACAGCAGAAGCTCTCTGGGTGGTCCCAGGAAGCCCCTCTCTTTTAGCTTGAGGGGAAAGAGGCAACAGCTCATGTAAAGGACTCTCCACACATCCTTTCTCTGAATGCTTTCTGTCTCAATCAGGGTCTGCCTTTATATGTACTTTCCAGACCTTTTTTTTTTTTTACTTTCTAATTTCAAGATAGTTTTCTTGAATTGTAATGTAAACTTTTCTTCTTTGGGGGCTCTTATTATTTGTATGTTGGATCATCTTTGTCTAATATACATGTCACCTTCTCTGTTTTTTTTATTCTTTAAACTCTCCATTTTTAACCCTCTATTTCTCCAAAGGCGTCATGTGCTTTGCTTGTTTGCTCTTGTGTTCTTTCTGGCTTTGTTTTGGAAATAATGGTTGTTTCTTTTAAGAATGCCTAATTGTTTTCTCAGTTGTGTCAGCATTTATCAGTATTTTAAATTCTGACTTCTTTTGTTCTTTCATGTATTTTATCATTTTCTTAATTTCTTTTAGCTCATTTTGAAGTGCTAGGTTGCAGTTTGCATTTGTTTTGCAGCTCGTTTTGATAGTGTGCTTTTCTTGTTTGTAAGGATTTATTAGACTTCATATCTTCATTGATTTTGTGTGGAGTTTGATTATCCTTTTCTGATGCAATTTATTTTTATGACATGGTTTTTCTGACCCTTTGGGGGATGACAGATGGGTCAGTGTAGCTTTCTGGTTTGGTCTCTAGTGCTCCCTCTTGTGTCATTTTTGTGAAGTGCTAATGATCTTCAGGGACTGTGTTCCCTTCTCTTATCTTTAGCTGACCTTGCTCTTTCCTTCGGCTCTAGCATTCCCGTTCTACTCAGGTTGGATTCCATTTCCAGTGGTTTTTCCCTACTGCAAGGCATGTCCTGCAGGGGAGAGTATTCTGATGGTTTTGAGAGCTGGTAAGGCACATCCGGCTCCAGCCCCTTCCAACTTTACCAGTTTCCTACTTCCAGTTTCCTTCTTCTCAAGTTGGCCTGCTGCACTTTCCACTGAGAATCTGTGGGAGATTGAGGAGCTCTCCTGTTTTCAAGTACATCAAATGCCTCATGGCCTCTCTCTGCTTCCTCTCACATAGATACAGATACCATGTGGGTCTTGGAGCTATCTGTAGCTGTGTAACTGTCATTTTTATTGTGAGCTTATCTCAAGCAGGCCTTTATCTGTGGGACTCATGTTGCCTGAATTGGGGGTGGGGGGAGATCCCAAAGGACCATTGTAAGTTTGCTTCTGTCAGGTACCTCAGAGTTATTACTGACTCAGGAGAACTTTTTTAGTTTCTCAGCTTGGGAGTTCTTGGACCATATGTCAGACCTCAAACCAGCGTGAGGACAGGCCCAAAGATAAGAATTTTTAGAAGAGGCTTCCTTTTTGACCCAGAATCCAGGTTGATAGAGATGAGTTTGTGGCACTGGATGGATTTCTTCCCAGTGTACCCTTTTGCCAAGAAAGTGCTTTGAAAGTCCTGGATTTATGCAAATATCTCAGTAAACTCCCCACCTTGCTAGGACCCAAGATTTTATCTCCTGTGTCACTAAGCCCTGGTTACCAAGACTGGCAAGTCCCTCGGGCAGCCCTAGCTTCAGTTCACATTTTACTTGTCTTTAATTTTTGGTCCCTAGGATTCTTCTTTACTTTTTGAGAGTTCAACAATGCATTTAAAATTATGTTAACTATATTTTATCTAAATTTCTAGATGTTTTGTGGCAGTTTGCGGGGTTTGTTTTGTTTTGTTTTTGTTTTTTAGATTATTCAACCACATTGCCAGTCTCTAGCTAAGTAACTCCAAAATTATTTTCACTTAAAAACAAGGAAAAGAAAAAAACCTCACTGCATTTATCTCTGAATAGTTTCAGTGTGAGGGATTTTTCTTTTCTTTTTAAGTAGTTTCTGTTTTTTCATTTAAAATAAGTATGAATTTCCCTTGGAATCAAAATTTTACAAAATTTTAGCCACACTGTGTTTTTCTTTCTTTTCTAATCCTCACCCAACGATGTTTTTTCCATTGCTTTTTCAGAGAGAGAGAGAGAAAGAGAGAGAAACAACAATGTAAGAGACCGAGCCTACAACCAAGCCTGCAACCAAGGTACGTGCCCTTGACCAGAATCGAACCTGAAACCCTTTGGTCCGAGGGCAGATGCTCTAACCACTGAGCAAAACCAACTAGGACCACACCGTGTGTTTTTCTAGACACACTAAGCGGTTGTGATTTTTTTAAGTTGTTATTGTTTTGGAGAACTGTCTGAAGGTTTTCTTTGCACTCATACTGACTCCAGGCAGGCATCAGGGATATCCCAGTGGGTTCAGATTTTGCCTTTGAATCATAGCATATTAGATTCTCAACACATAAAAGCAGTGCTAAAGGTTTGGAGGGGTCTCTGTTCCACTTCAGCAGAACAGCCTTAGCTCCAGCCTCCCTCCTGCTTGGCTTTCTTAGATACATCATAGCATATATATGTATTTTCACTGCCAGTCATTTCCGTATTCACATGTGTGTTCAAGGCACTCATACTAGAAAAGACATAATTAAAAAGCAGTTTTTAAGTTATATTTTTAACAATGCTTTCTTTTTCTTTTATTGTTTTCAATGACCCCAAAATTCCTGGGTTCCAACAGAAACACAGACACTGCCACTGAAATCAAGGATTCCAACAGCTACAAGACACCCTTGCCGGTGGCATCTCCAGTGAATTTGCATATACCCTTCAGAGCCACTTTAAGCCACAGCCTCTGGGAACAAGAGAATCCAGACGAGCACCTCCTGCGGGTTCCTATAGCCAGTTCCCTAGGAGAGAACTTATTGGGACCCTGACTCCTAGCCAACGAACCAGAGTGATCTTCCTGGCATTAGTCAGTGCACTGGCTACAACTTCCCATAATGCTGTTTTCCAACTGTGGGCCAAATGACTGTGGGAGAAGTAAGATGGTATTTAAAACAAGGTGCTTCTGCACTTCCACCAATAAACCTCCGAGTGAGCCCCTAATTGTTGTAGGGTGTGTTATGGGGGGGAGCGGGGGGGGGGGCTGATTAGGAGTAGGAGCTCACTCCTTGGGAAAATAAATGGGAAAAAGTTCCTTCTGCTCAGTTAAAATCCCAAAGCAGCCAAGCAAAGCCAAGAAAGTCAGTCCAGAGGAAAGGGCCTGGTGAGAAATCCAACTTCTTCTTTCAAAGGGAGAGGGGACAACAGGCAAGGCTGCTCCAAGTTCATTGTGAAAGAAATCCTCAGAATGATGGCAGCCAACTAGGAAATACCTTTGTGTTGCTCCACTCACCTCAATCAAGAAATTGAGTTTTTACTGCCCCGCTGTAAAACTATGAAGTCATGCCCCGGGCCATGCAAACTTTGGTTGCTAATGAAGACATGGCTTCTGGTCAGAAAGACGGTGACCACCCATCACTGGAAGTCCCATTGATATGACTCTTCCCACCCAGACCTAATGAAAGCAAACTGGGAGACATGGTGTCTGTGCATATCAGGGAGAGGGCAGGGGCTCTGGCCAACCTCTGAACAAGTGGGGAATATTTACCTGGAAAATGCTACCACAACATTGAGTAGGCATTTATTAAGCTCCTGCTGGGTGCCAGACACCGTGCTTGATGCTATTATATTAGAGGGAGCAAGACAGATGGACAAGTTTCCTGCCTTTAGGGAGGGTATGAGAGAGATATCAAGCTCTGTTTGAGAGACACAGGAAGACCATTAAGGGTGACATGAAATTTGAGCCACTTGGGCTGCAAATCAAGGCTGGCGGACTTGCTTTCCTGTGATTCACACTATAGGAAAGGGGGCGATGGAGGGAAAAGGAACATGACTGCTCTCCCCTGGTGCATCCTCAGTTGGGCTGAGTGGTGTATCCTGGCAAGATTGGGTCAGAAAAAACATCGGAGCTGAGAGGATGCCTAATGTTTGTGAGTTTCTTCCTGCCTCTAATAAAAAAATAAAAATATTTTATTTCATGGGTTAAAGCATCGGCCCGTGGACTGAATGGTCCCAGGTTCGATTCTGGCCAAGCGCATGTACCTCAGTTGCAGGCTCCATCCCCGGCCCTGGTCAGGGTACATGCTGGAGGCAACCAATTGATGTGTCTCTCACATCAATGTTTCTCCCTCTCTCTCTCTTTCTCTCCCCCTTCCGCTTTCTCTGAAAAGCAATGGAAAAAATATCCTCAAGTGAGGATAAAATAAATAAATAAAATAAAATAAAATACAATTTTCTTTTGGCATGTTCTAATCAAAAAAGCTGAGCATTGTTGTTGCTGGTGCGAGACATCCAAAAGTTAAACTTAGAAGAGGCTAATGGCTTCCAGGTGGGTTTGGCCAGTGACATGTACAGACAGGAGGTCAGAGGGAGAGAGAAAAAGGAATCCAGACAATTATTCCCTCCCTTGTAGTTGCATAAGGCTGGCTGTGTCCCTTAACAGAAGGAAACTGCTCCTCTCGTGGCGGTCTCTTCTAGTCAACTCTCTCTTTCCTAGTTTCACTAACCATCCCCTCCTGTTACCCTCCAGGTCCATTCATTGTATGGACTTAGCTAACTGGATGCTCCTTCTTGAAATTTATATCTTGAGTGAGCAGAGATGTCACTCATCTCCACAAAGATGTGATAGGTGGCTCTGGCTATGTGACAGTTGCTGGGCTTCCACCCAGCTTATTGCTTCTCTTTTGGGGCCTGCCTATCCCCCAAGCCCAGTTCCCTTAACTTCTGGTTGTTGTCAAGACCCCCCAATAGTCTTTCAATGAATTCCCTTTGGCTCAGGTTGGCCTGTCACTTCCTATGTTTACAACCATGACGTCCAATTGCTGTGGTGCTGTTCCCAGGAAAGGGGATGCTGTGTTGGCAACCATCGCACCCATGACGTCTTATTTTTGTGTGTATCCTCCAGTGCCTGGATCCTACAGACGCCCACTCAAAGGCTGTTAAATAAATAATGTCTACCACAGCCAGCTGAGGTTGCCCCACACTGTCCCCCCCATACAGGGGAAGAAACTATAGCCTTTGCTAAATGCACTTATCCCTGAAATTAATTTTCCAGACTATTTCTTAGATGAAAATACCACCACATAAGGGATTGGTAAACCTTTTAATGGCCAATAGATCATTTAAAAGAGAAAAGAAACAGAAGATTGTTATCCAGAGTCAATTAGAGCCCACCAGGACGTGACATTTGCAAAAACAACCCCCCCCCCC